CATGATGAGTGACTTCCATCAATTACTACCTTCTGGGTCCAACCACGGAGCCAATTTTCCAGCCAGTGGATCGTGGTGGACCCAAGGCCACAATTAGCAGGTTTTGCCAAGAGGTGATCATGGGATACCAGATCGAAGGCTTTTTTGAAGTCAAGATATATGACATCAATCTCTTCTCCCTTGTCCAGGTGATAGGTCACCTGGTCATAGAAGGAAATGAGATTGGTCAAGCAAGACCCACCTGCAACAAACCTTTGCTGGCTATCCCTTAGGATGTTGGCGTCGGCCAGTCCATTAAGGATATACTAGTGATGTGGTATAGACCTAACCACATGTATTTCCTATTGTCTTAATGAGCAAGCTCCCAAACCATACTACATTCTCAGGATGCACCACATAATTCCTAAGTCCTATGATCCACTGCAGTGAGTCAAAAAAAGGAAGGCCATCATATATGAAGCAGGTGTGAAGCAGCTGTATTAACTTTGGATTCAGCCAATTCGGGAGACAGTGATTTGATTCAGTTATTCATATCACTATCCCAAATCAATTCAGCCAAATCTGATTTGGAGATTTGGCCACCGCTGAATTGGCCGAATCTCCAAATCAGCCCCATCCCCCGCCCACTCTTCCAGCCCCATCAATGTCTGCCCCACCTGGTCCCAGCTCCCTACTCTTTAAAAAAAAATTTTAAAAAATCCTAGCACTTACCTGCTGCTGCCAGGTGGGAGGGCAATCCCCGCTGCCCCCACTGCCCCATGCCATGTGGAAGGTTCTGCCATAAGCATCCCAACCCCCACACGCTCTCGCAGCACCCCTCATGGCTGCCCTACCCACCCCAGCTCCTGGCTCTTATTTATTTATTTTTTTAAAGCCCCAATTACTTGCTGCTGCCAAGTGGGGGGGGCATCCCCACTTCCCCCTACTGCCCTGTGCTGTGGGGGGGGGCTCTGCCATGAGCCCCCGGAAGCCCCAGTGCAGCTGCAGCAACTGGCGAGTGCTGGGCTTTTTTTTTTTTTTTTTTTTTTTTTTTTTTTT